CAGGTAGTGGTATACCTGCACAGACTTGGCCACAGCCTTGATCCATGGCAACAACAACCCAACAACTTGATATAAAATCTTGATTACCAGTGCATTTGCCACTTGAATACACCCTTCTCTATCAATCATCTCGCACCTCACAAGAAACCTCCATTGCTTGCGTTGAAGCCACGACACACAGTCAACACCAGCTGTGCTGTTTACCCAGGTGGAAGAATCGCTGTACATCTGTATACTCCAACAGTAGGGTCAGCAGTGCAGCCACTGGCAATACAGAAATAGCTGAGGAACTCTATATACCCAAGGATGATGCAGTTCTTCAGCCAAGACCAATTAGAAAGTTAGCTTGCCAGCACCAGCCAAATGAGATGCAAGAGAGCCAAGCTGCATGGCTGAGTGCTGTCGAGGATTTTGTGTTCAGTTGATTTTAGCATAGTTTAAAGAAGAAGAAGTAATGAAAGGATAGTTGACCAGATACAGCCTCAGTAGCACTAGTTTCCCCACAGTTGAAGCCTTCCTGTGTGGATTGTGCCAGGGCAAAGAGTAAGTTGTTCAATCATTGCTGTGGAATTGATAATAACAGCGACAGCCAGCTTTGTGGCTGGCCCATTCCCACTGTCAGAGGAGTGAGGCTCCAAGCAGAGCTCTCCACTCCCAGCCAGCTCTTTGTGCATCTACCCTGACTGGATCTCATCGTGCCCGGTCTGCCCACCAACCCAAAACCCTTTCCCAGGCCCATCTCAAGTCGATTCGAAGTAAGCTCACAACAAATTCTCGCACTGTCCCCACTGAATACTTTACTGCTCTCCAAAATGCAGGCATCATCCTGCTCCCCTTCACAGTGGACCCATTTCTTGGACTGGGACCCTTCGCCCATGCCCTTCTCTACGGCTCCGCTCGCCAACCATTCCCCCTCCCAGCACCCCCGTGGTCTGCCAAACTCCCCACCCACTCCCAACGCTCCTACAGCCAACTCCTTTCAGCCCCAACCGCCATTCTCCCCACTGCTGATACCCACTTTGTCACCCCCACCAACTACTCCATTGACACCCAACCCTACACACCTTCACGCTGGGCACACCAATCCCTTGCCCTCAATCTATCTACCCACTTAGCACAACACTTTCAACGCGCTATTACACGCCAAGCTCGATCCCTCTATTCCTCCGGCTCATCCCCGTCCTCAGTCCTTGCCGGTCCATATATGCCTACTTCACGCCCAGAACCCCTTGATCCCTTCCCCTACTTTTTACAAGCGGACGTTACCTAGTACCGTTCCTTTCACGTAATCCCCTTTATAGTTATTTATTTATTTATTTATTTATTTATTTACCACCAGCCAGGCTGGGAGGAATGAAACCAACTACGATCTCATCATCTATCTTCTTGGAACAATATAAAATGATTCGACAAGCGGCACTTCGGTATTATCAGCACAGTGGACGTCGTTATCTGTCGTCGGTAGCTGTCACTCAGACAAAGGCTTTTGCTCCTGCTGCCGGAAACCGATTGGAAGCTCTCCGCAATCAACTGGCCGAAGAGGATGCTACCCTAGACGATTTCACGAATGCGTCCACAGCTGCTGCCACAACAACCAGACCTCCCAACCGCAAGGCGGCACCTCGCTCCAGTAAAATATTGCCCAAACCACGATGGCTGAAAGCCGCTCCTGCTGATTCGGAGAATTATCAACGGCTTCGTCAGACGGTACGAGAATTGGGGTTGGCCACGGTCTGTGAAGAAGCACGGTGTCCCAATATTGGTGAATGCTGGGGCGGTGGTGACGGAGAAACGGCCACAGCTACCATTATGATTATGGGAGATACATGTACCCGTGGATGTCGCTTTTGTTCCGTCAAAACCAGTCGAGCCCCGCCACCCTTGGATCCAGAGGAACCCGAAAAGGTATCCACGGCCATTGCCAAATGGGGACTCGACTATGTCGTATTGACCAGTGTCGATCGAGACGATTTGGAGGATCAGGGATCCCAGCATTTTCGACAAGTTGTGCAGAAATTAAAACAGAAAAAACCAGATCTACTGGTAGAAGCATTGACGCCAGATTTTCAAGGAAATCAAAAACTCATTGAAGCCGTCGCCACCTCGGGGCTCGATGTCTATGCGCACAACGTTGAAACGGTAGAACGATTGACCTCTCGAGTCAGGGACAGAAGAGCAGGATATCAACAATCCTTAATGGTACTTGACTATGTCAAATCCTTGCAAACAGGATGTCTCACCAAAACCAGTCTCATGCTGGGGTTGGGAGAAACCGACGATGACGTTCGAATCACGTTACAGGATCTGAGAAACGTTGATTGTGACGTTCTCACCTTTGGACAGTACCTCCAGCCTACCAAGAAACACTTGCCCGTCAAGGAATACATCACGCCGGAGAAGTTTGAACAGTGGAGGATTGAAGCTGAAGCCATGGGATTCAAATACGTTGCCTCGGGACCCTTGGTCAGATCCAGCTACAAAGCAGGAGAATTCTTCTTGAAGAATTACATTCAAGAGCAACGACAAGAGGCCAATGTGGCGGCCAATTAAGAACTAGTAGATAGCATTTCTAAAGAGTAGAGAATAAAGAGAAAGTTTTGAACAGCTTCTCCTTGCCATCCTTCAAGCTACGACAGGCGATGGAGGCAGGCAAACACAATCACGAGGATACTTTCGAGCTCGTGCCGTAGCCATGAACTGTTGCTTGATTCAGACGTACGGTACCGGCATGCCAAGAACTTTCCCTCCCTATTGCTACCGAAGGGTAACCAAACCACGTACCGGTACTAGTATGTTTTCATCTTCAAACCCAGCGGTTTTGGAACAACGGAATCGAATCTACAGCCAGCAACGCGAAGCCGAATCGCGAAAGCAAAGACGAAAGCGATTGTTGGATAGGAAAGATCTATATTGACAATTTCGATCTCTTAAATAGAAAATTGGAGACTATCCAACAAGCATCGTCGGAAATGGTAGATTGTATTGTCAGGTAGTGAGGCGGCAAGCGGAAGAGACCAGACACCACAAAACAACACTTCTTTTGGAGCCCTTTCCAACAACGATCGAACCGACCGGTTCTGAAGAACTACAGTTCACCACCCTTGTCATCACTTGATGTCCCCAAGATTTTGGCAATGGCATCCTTTTGCTTTTCAGTCAGATCTACCGGAAAGTCCACTTCAAAGGTAATGTACAAGTCCCCAAAGCCGCGGCCATTCCTCCTTGGCATACCCTTTCCAGGCACTCTCATGACATGGTCGCAGTCAATCACATCATCCACTGTGATGGTAAAGGGAGTATCATCCAATTGTTTCAATGTCATAGAGAATCCAATCTAAAAGAAGGCAACAGAAAATATGAAAGCATGAGTTGAAACTGCCCCCTTTAAAATCTCCGTGATGACAGCAGACTTACCAAGGCATCCACCAAAGGGATTTCGAGTGTCATGTACAGATTATCCTTTTCCCGATGGTAGGTTGAGTGGGGCTCTTCCACAATGACAAATCGCAAATCACCAGCTTTATGTCCTGGCTTTTCATCAGTGACTTCTTCAAAGGTGATGTGTTCACCCACTCGGTAGCCGGGCTGGACGTCAATGGTAAGCTCAATTTTTTCGGTTTGTGTCTTTTCAGGGCATTCTTTGCAGTTTTTATGCCACATTTTTCCTCTGGCAATGCATCGTTCATCTCGCTGTTGAACCTGTTGCACAAAGCCAGGTGCTAATTGCTGTCTGACTACACGTACTCCTGGTCCCGAACATTCATTGTTTGTCTTCATGCACATTTCCCAATTAAGACAGAGAGTTTGACGATGGTACTCGACCTCGATTTGTTCTCCCAAGTACAACTGTTTGAGCGTGACATGAAGAGGAATCTCTACAGATGGTGTTCGCTGTTCTTCATCTTGTCGACGACGTCCACCGAATCCACCACCAAAAAATTGCTCGAAGGGATCAAATCCGCCTCCTCCTCCGCCACCGCCACGTTGCTCGTGTTGCTTCAATCCTTCTTCTCCATGTCTATCATAAATTTCCTTCTTTTCGTCATCCGACAAGACTTCATAGGCACGGGCAACTTCGGCAAACTTCTCGGCAGCCCCCTCTTCCTTGTTTTTATCGGGATGGTATTTGAGGGATGCCTGACGATATGCCTTCTTAATTTCCTTGGTTGTGGCATCACGAGATACCCCCAGTAACTTGTAGAAGTCTGCTGCATGTGCCAAACAGGCCAACAGCAGTTGCAGCACTGCCACTAATCGAACTCCTCCTCTGGTCATTGGTGTCTATAGTAGTAGTATGGGTATCTGAGACTTCTGGAAACCTTGAAGATAACTAATAATATGTCGACCTTGCTGGCTGCTACACAGAGATAATGAATGCGATGAGCTATATGAAGCAATACTCGTAACTGTGACGGGTTGCCACGAAGTCTTTCTGGGTTTACCGCTGTCAACAATCAACACACCACAACAGAGCATGCAGTTTTCTCGGTCAAGCGATCTTTGCCTCAAATTCCACAAAATCGAAGAGAGAGAAGCGCGACGAAAGAGATGGAGGCACCAATGCCGTGAGACCGTTGATAAAGCAGGTTTGAATTCTGACACGTCATCAATTTTGAAAGCCTGAACGCTAACATCATTTTGTGGTAGAATTCCTTTGATACCCCATCTGATGTTATCTTTGACAGCTCAACCGGATTAAATACGTACCTTCAACTTCCACGTGGGAGCAAAAGTTCCTCGTCAACAACGGTTGTTGACGTTGAACCAAACCGATGAGGAGAAAGAAAATCCTCGGCGACCATCATCCAGCATCCGCATCATCGGCAAGCGTCCCAGACCGAGTTCATTTTCCAATCTCTACTAGACTTTTTTGTTCTCAACCCAATTTTTTCTACCATGTTCTTGAAGACTTTGTTCAGCTTTCTTCTTCTGGTTGTCGCCTTTTGCGCGGCACAAGACCGGGATACCATGCACGATATTCAAGTCGGTATGCAGGGACTCAAGGAAGCTGCCAAGGACCCAGCTATGTTGGCACAACTGATCCGGGATATGCAGGTGGGTTTGTCTTTGGGGGGGTTGAATTTGAGGTGCAAGAAGAGGTTTCGAAGCATGATTTCATGGGTATCTTTTGTGAAGGAGGAGTTATTGAATCTCGCTGAGATTGTTCATCTCGGCCAGCGTCTTTTCACTCAGCCCGCATTGGGACCCGCGTCTTTATGAAGACTCCTCTTCTTGGACCATCCAAATGAGACACCATTACTGACGTGCTTTTCATTTCTTTTTGCCTGCCTTTGACTCTAATCGAACTTTTTAGGACCCCGAATTGATGGCTGAAGCTCAAAAAATGATGAACAACCCTGAATACAAAAAGAAAATGGCAGAATTGACCAAAGATAAGGCATTCCAAGAATCCATCAAAAAGACTACCGATTCATTGAAGGATCCTAATGCCGCCGCCGCCGCTGAAGCCAAGATGGAACACATGCTCAAGGTTGGTAATGATCAACTCAAAAAGAATGCTGGAGATCAAATGAAGGAAGCCATGAACGCCATGTCCAACCCAGAAGTCATGGCACAGATGCAAGATATGTTGAAGGACCCCAAATTCATGCAACAGATCCAAGCCATGACCAAGGACCCCAACTTTAAGAGCTACGTTGATGCCGTCCAAGATATGGTCAAGGACCCAGCCATGAAGGCCAAGTTTGAACAGGTGGGACAAAAAGTCAAGGCTTCAATGTAGACAGCAACAACGCTATCCAAACGTGGCAACCTCATGAGGAATGAAACGGTGCACTGTTCAGCCTTCGAGCGCACATATTATCATCGCAGCACTATTAGTCTGTGAAAGTCAATCTTCATGGACACGAGTTGCAAATGCCAAGCCGAGAAACTGGAAGGCCTCTAGCTGCTATTATTATTGGAGACCACAGATGCTCGCATCAAAGAAGCAAAAGTTAGAAAATATGGATAATTAGGAGGAATTGTTGATTTGGTAGGGGCTAGAGTGTTCTTCTTGGAAGCGTTGTTCGCGCGTCATCGGCAGCAAACACATAGTCTGGAGTCCACCCCTGTGGGAAGCCATTAGAGCAAGTCGGCCTCAAAAGATTTGGCACCATCCGCTAAAACAAACTTCATCGAGCAAAACGAAGACAAGCCACATCTATCTATGTACTTCCGACCAGGTGGTGCCATTTCAACTCATTCAGCCACTTGACGCAGGCGCCCACGACGGAATCATTCGTCCTTGTGAACTGCCAAAGTTTCCTTGTGCTAACTCTAGTAGCTAGTCTAGTTGTTACCATGCCGGTACCGGTAGAACTTCAGCCTGGCGAATTGTTTTTCTCATTCTGATGCTCCTGGGAAGCATACAGGTGGCGTTGGAGTTTCAGGACCACACGTTTGCTTCCGACTTGCTACTGCCAAACATACTACATGTAGTAGTGGTAAAACCTGCCGAGGGTCCTCCTGGTTCATTCTTATTGTTGATTTTGATTGACCACAAAAGTGGAAGAGAGATGACTCTTGGGGTATTTTTGATGCAATTCTTGCCAGTGCACAATGAAGCAATCAACAATTGGATAGAGTAGTTTTCCTGTGAGGCTGAGAGTTTCAACTCGACAAAATGATTCACAAAACAGAAATTGACAAGGAAATCCTGCCATTCGAATCAACCAGGCTCCCAGAATAACCGGTACACAGGTTCCAGGTCCATTGCAGAGCACCAGCTCGGGTCGAATCTGTATGGTCAAGACAATGGCATGTATCAGTGCATAGATTGTTGTGATAAAGGAAGATGTAAAGGATTGTCCCACTTCTCGACTTCGCGGAATTTTGTGGACAATGGTGTCATTCTTGTGGAGCTCAGGATTTGCTTGGAGCCGTTGGATGGAGGTATGATCCGTATCGGCCACAATATATACAATTGGATCATACCGGGACGTGTCTAGCTGTGAGACCATGTGTAGCATTTCACTGGTATGACCACCTGATCCCAGTACCACCAGTGTCTTGCATTTCTTGTTTCTAAATGCTGTTCTGGTCTCTTTGTCATCAAGTCCATTTCTTCGTGCTTGAATCTCTCGATAGATCCGTAGAAAGCGCAGTATCGCAAAGAGGAGAGCTGCTGCTATGGCCCCTCCCAAGATTATCAATGCTATTGCTGAATCCATTTTGATGAGAGCTGGAACTATTACGGTAGCCAAATCTAGAGGGAGGTTCTCTATGCCGGAGGCTCACAGGGATGGGCATCGTTGAAAATAATGCCCATGGCTGCATGCTACTCCGCCGATAAAGTTGAGAATTTTGAAAAAGGTGATAACTCCTCAGAATGAGCAGTCAGGATTTTTGAATGGTTTGGGTTAGGGTGAAAGAAAAATTCTCAACTTGATCTTCAGATTTGTGTAGAAGCTGGTAGGTTTGAGAATTCTCAACTTAATCGGCGGAGTAGCATGTTCTCTGTTGGGTGCAGTTTCGCTGTCTTGTGGAACCCAGCGAGGCTGGCAAAAAACAGCCTGGCTTCGGATCCTAAATCTTCCGTCCTTGAGCTTCCATCCATTCGATCACCACACATACATCATGCATCATCCGTTTGCCACAATCTGACATTTGAAATCATAAGACGAAGACCATGGACATCAAAGCAGCGGTAATGAAGCTACTCGAAGAGTCCGGCAAGCCTTTGAAACGAAAACATATCCAGCGCCACCTCAAGGCAGATGCCACGAAAAAGGAAGTGAAGAAAGCACTTCGGAGCCTGGTGAAAACTGATGAAATTGCGAAGGAGGGGAAGAAGGCCTATCGAATCAATGCGAAAGCCAAAGAGGACAGCAATTCGTCAGATAGTGAGTCGGACGACGAGAAAGATGATCGCCAACCGTTACCAATTGCCGAGCAACTTCGACGGAAGAAAGCGCCAACATCATCGACCAAGAGTCCTCTGCAAGAAAATCCAAAGAACAATGAGAAGGTAGAAGACGACCATGTGTCGGATATTGACGAAGAGATTCGAAGATTGGAAGAGGAACTAAAGAATGACAATGACAGTGACAGCGAGGAAGATTCTGATGAGGAATCGGAAGCTTCGGAAAGAGAACCTACAGATGATGCAGGAGGAGTTATCTCCCTGTCAACTCTGGCCGAAGATCGAATTTCGGCTTTGCCGACAAGCTGTCTACCATCCAATAAACGACGGAAGCTCAAGGGAATCGACGGCGATAACTCGGCAGGAAAGACAATCAGCAACGGCGAACGAAAGTCGAACAAGCGTAAACGGGATGATAGCCAAAAGTCAACCACAGAAATCAGTGCAGGACTCAAGGCTGCGGTCAAGGTTGTGTTGAATGGCTACGTCGCAAGATCCAACGAAAAGATTCCCTTTTATTGCCGAGTCTGTGCCAAACAATACGCAGACAGCGACGAATTCTTTCAACATAAAAGGACAGAGTTTCATAAAGCTGCAGTAGAAATGGAAAAGAAGGCCAGCTATTGCAAACTCTGCAGGAAACAGTTGACCAGTCCAGTCCAACTACAGGAGCATCTACATTCCAAGCCACACAAAGACCGACTTCAAATGATGAAAAACAGACAACCACAGCGACAGCGAAAGTAGCGTGGACACTGTTGAGGCAAAAGAGAGCTGTAGATTGCTGCCTATTCAAACATCGTTCATTTTCTCGGTCTTTGTTCTTTTTGTTAGATGCTACTATGGCATTTTCGTCATTACGAATTTGGTGGTGCCTGTTCTGTAATTGAAAGGCAGCATATCCTTCCAGTAGTCTTCTCCCAGAATGACGACATCTGTGTCACGCATCTGGAATTCAACACTGCCCCGTATCTTGATGGGTCGCTTGGAAAACCGAGATTCGAGACGAGCGCCGCGGTCGACAAACCCTCGGTATTGGAGAATGGTCTTGTCGTCACTCAATACTTGAAATGTCACCGTGTCCAAATGAGTCGGTCCTGGATCCAGTCGCCATCGAAGGCCTTCTAAAGGTGGGGCAACTTCTACTGTACCTTGTGCTTGAAACTCGACTGTAGAAACACCAATGATTTCCGATCCAATCAGGTCCTGAACCTCCCAATTCCCAGCCAAGTCTTCGGGGTACGAAGAAATATCGCTCCCCGCACCGCTGTTTTGTCGAAAGGTTGATTCCCACACGGCAAATCGTCCCAATTCCTCTTGAGCGGTTCGCGGTATGGGCATGGAGAGAACATCTCCGGGAGTAGGCTTGACATAACCACTTCCCAGCTCTACCAGAGTTGCCATTAAGCGTTCGTACGCATTGGCATAGCTCTCAATCAGCGCAAAGGGTGGATCCAGGGTCGTGACGACACCATAATTGTAACATTCCGACAAGAGTTTCAAAAGCGAGTTGAAGAATTGCATTCCTGGCCGTTCTTCATCGTCCAACTCGGCTTCATCGTCGACACCACCCGTGTTCGGGTACCATCGTTGGACGAATCGGGGTCGATCTGCCACCAGCGTTTCAAACAATACCAACAACTCCTGGTCACCACCAAAGAGCAAGGCACGTTGCACAATGTTGGATAAGGCATTCAACTCCCGTGTCATGGTTGGCTCTTTGGCACTCAGCAAGAGACCACCCAGATCGTCCGATTTGATGTCATCGTCGGCATTATCCTTCTTGGATGCTTTGTTGCTGCTGCTGCTATTGTCGCCTGTTTGTTGTTGACTGTTCCTGCTAGCTTCCTTTTTCAAGCTGATTTTGTCCAGCATGGAAAGACTAATATCCTGATTTTTGAGAATGGGTGCAATTTTTGAATTGCCGGTGAATGGTTTTCCTTCAAAGGAGGCACCGACGGTTCGCAGAACACCCACAATTCTTCTGTACGATTCATCGTAGATGCCTGATTCCATCACCTGAACCACATACAGACGAACAGCAACGAGATGAGTATATTGTACCTGTCAGAGTAGATAACATCAATATCTATCTTTCCTCAACAACTTACCTCTTTGACTCTGGGGGACTCTTTTCCACTGGTTGCCAAGCTGAGGATGGATTCTAGGTACGCCTCTGCAAACATGTATCCTGGCAAGTTTCCGTATCTCTCCCGGAATGCATTGAGCTGATCGGTCACGTATTCTTCATCGGTTCTACTTCTCGGGGAAGGGGCTCCACCTCCCGTTCCCGACGTAGCCGCCTTTTCATTGGTATTTCCGGTATATTTTTTGTCGGCTCTTCGTCTGACCAATAGATTCAAGATTGGTCTTGGAATGGGACATTTGGATCCTCCTCCCTCTTGTTTTTCCTGCGCTGCCATGGCCGCTTCCCGCTCCTTTTCGGCGAGTGCGGCTTGTCGAAAGCTCTTGTTCAATGCTTCTGCGGATGGCCAAGCCCTTGCCAACAAGATGCGTCGTACAGCTCGATTGGATGCGTTATTGAGTGCCCTGGTCAGGGATAAGACGGGGGATGCATCCTCCGTGGCGGATGTCACCAACATGGCACTGGCGGATTTGGCGTATGATCTTGATAGCGAGACATCGGCGGGAGCAATGCAGAAATCAATCTCATTGACTTTTCCTCTGCTGGGAGCCGCCATGGCTTCTGGGACGGCGGGAGATTCATCGGCAGCAGTCGAGCCTTGTTCAATCTTGGTGCTGGAGGATAATGGCAACCATGTGGATATGGATCTTGTGGATCTTTGTAAGGATATCGGAACAAAACAGGTAGATGAATGAGCCAAGAACAAGCCCACGCATAACAGCGAGAGGAGGCAGCATTTGGCTTTTGGCATCATTGTGAATAAGATAGACACTATAATGGAATGTACTTTTGATTTTACAACAACCGTTGCTCACACTCCTTCCTCTCTTGTCTCTTCAATGCTAACGGTATCATTCCTTTCTCATGTATGAGCCTTCTTGAGCCTGATCACCGTCAGTCCGTCAAAAGTCAAAAGCAACCTTTTCTCCAAATGCTTCCACTTGGAACCTCCCTACAAAAGGAAAAGGAACATTTCACTGAATATTTCAATCAATTATATATTTTACAGTAAAAATGTAAACATAAAAATTTAAACGGTAAAAATTAACTCCAAAACGCGAAACTAGCCCCAACCAATCAAAGTGACTTTCGCCAAGTCTTGCCACCAACCGTTGGTTTCCCGCGATCTTTGGTTCAAAGTGCCATCATGGGTTTGCAATGCGCCAATGCCGATGATGGCTGTTATCACCTCAACAACCAACCACAAAAATAAATAATAACAATAACAATCGGCCCTCCCAAGGAATCTTTCAATGAGATGAGGCACTTCCAGGTATCCTCAGTTTCCTTACTATCTTCAGTCTTTTCTCTTCTGATCATCGTGATGGCGAGCAGCAGTTTGGCCCTGTCGTCCCCAGCCGGCGGCTCGACCAACAGCCACAACCGAAATAATAAGCGGGCCAAGACCAAGCACTACTACACGGAGATGCAGGCGTCATTGTCGCCCGGCAACAATAGTACAGATGGTGCCGCTGCCACTCCTGCTGCTGGAAAATTGGAAGAATTAAAACAACGAGAAGCCGAACTCTCCAAACTGTTGGCATCTGTGCGACGGGAAAAACTGTCGGCCATTCGAGCGCGGCCATTGACCATTGGAGTCATGGGATTCGGACGCTTTGGACAGTTTATCGCCAGAACCTTTTCCAAATACGGACGAATTGTCGTCACATCCCGCAGTGATTATACCGATATTGCCAATGGAATGGGAGTCAAGTATGTACCGCTCAGCAATCTAGATGCTTTCTTGGCCGAAGACCTCGATGTCATTGTGGTCGCCACATCCATTCTCAGCTTCAAATCCACCATCCAATCGTTGGTGCCGCATTTGGAAAAACAATTACTTGCCAAGGCTGGAAAGGGTGATTCTGCGATCGTCAAGGGGCCTCTCATTGTCGATGTGCTCAGTGTCAAGGAACACGCTCGACAAGTCATGCTCGATCTACTACCACCCGAATGCGATATCTTGTGCACACATCCCATGTTTGGACCGGATTCTGGAAAAAAGGGATGGCATGGACTCAACTTTGTCTACGAAAAAACACGCCTCGATAAGGTCGTCCTGGAACCGGAATCCAACAACTATAATGTCAACAATAATGACAGCGACAATGAAGAAGCTTTTGTCGACACGGCGGGACAGGTGCATTCCGTTCACGAAGATAGTGAAGCTCATGTCGAGGCCATTGATCGAGTCGAACGGTTCTTGTCCATTTGGGAGGAAGAAGGATGTCGTATGGTGCCCATGAGTGCCAAGGATCATGATGCCTATGCCGCCAACTCGCAGTTTATCACACATCTCATGGGACGCATTCTGGGCTCGCAAGGACTGTCTTCCACGCCCATTGATACCAAGGGATTCGAATCCGTCTTGAAACTGGTGGGATCCACCACGGCGGATAGTTTTGATCTCTTCTATGGTCTGTACAAATTCAACCAAAACAGTCTTGACACCATCTTGCAACTGCGATCGGCCATGGATGAGGTTGTGGATAAACTCAAAGTCATGGAAGACGAAGAGCAACAAAAAGGCAATAGTGTCGATCCAAACAACAGCAAAGTTGTGCCAAGTTAACAAAATTGGATGAATCAAATGCGTGGTCAGGGAGGCCAACATGGCATTTCAAATACAAGCAGTCTCGCAGTTGCGCCAGTAGGATTTGAAACTCCTCTCCTTTACCACGGAGCGATTTTTTTGGCTAGAGTTTCCGATACATTCGTGGCAGGACATTGCAACCCACGGTCTTCATAATATGCGTGGCCTTGTACCCAAGGAGAGCATCTACACAGTTGCAACTGGTTTTAGTTAGTTATGTTGAGTACATTGTTGCAGGAGGTGTCGTGATGGCTTCTTGAGCATTAGGAAGAATCATCTTCTTCAGATCCTAGTTTGGAGTATCGTTCCATTGCCAAGCCTGCTCCTCCTTGGCTACTCGTTTCGACCAGTTCTATATCTGCAGCTGCTTTGGCTACTGGACTTGCATTGCCCATGGCAACACCAATACATGCCGTTTCTAACATTTCCTTGTCATTCTCGGCATCCCCCAATGCAAGCAGTTCCTTGCCAGGGTCTACCCCAAGCTTTTCACACAGCTTTCTGACTCCCAGGGCCTTGGAACAACCTTCTGGGAGAATTTCAAGAACTGTGGGAAAGGAAGTCGTCACAGTAGCCCCATTTTCTTTTGCCAGCAACTCCAGCTCCGGTCTCATGTCATCACGAAGCATATCCACGTCGTTGGACATGAAGACCAGTTTGTGAAACTGGGGGCCATCGTTAGCCAATGAGTCTACTGGGATTGGTACAGGTTCTCCCCACAAGGAATTGACTTCATCCAAAAGCTGCGGATCCCCAGCTGTATTGCAGTAAATAGCATCTTCATAGTTGCCAATGATGGTAGCATTGAAGCGGGCAGCAATGGCCTCAGAAGCAATGGTGGCTTCCTTTGGTAACTTCTTTTCAAAAATAACGGTGCCATCGGCATCGACGCAGTAAAGTCCTTGAATGAAGACGCCCGGAAGTTTGGATAAGATTTCTCGCATTTCTGATCCAAGACTATTCAGTGCTCCATTTCGAGATTTGCCTGTTGCCGGGAAGAAGTGCTGAATATTTCCATTTGGTTTTGATGCCTCGTTGACCGCCCTTTCAATGACACGTCTTGTTCTGCTGGATAGGGTGTGATCGCTAGAGAGCAGGGTACCGTCTACATCACTCGCAATCGTTGAAATTGAGTCTATTCTTGCTGCAAGTATATCCGCGTCAATCTTGACGACGGCAGCTGAGGTCTTATCTTGGTCGGCAAGCACCTGCGAAGCCAACGCGGTCGTCGTCGAAACTCTACTTCGAAATCCAGAAAAACAGCTCACACAAAGCGGAAGCAACAAAAGGATTCCTACAACAAAGCAAGGTCGCAAAGTGCAAAGATTCGTCGTCATGATCAACACTCAACACATGGGTATTAGTCAAGAGAAGTGAAGAACTAGCTAGCTAGCGAGCATTGAGATCATATGGAGTGAGGGGTTTCTGCATCAAATTTGCTGGGAGTCTCCATCTTTTGAGCGAAAAAAATGAGGTCAATGACGTGGTTTTCGGCCTCGGTTAAGGCAGCCTGCAGAGCTAGATAGTAGCTGTTGCTCTGATAAAAGGTGGAGTTGGTCCAGGAAACTTTCAATAAAGGCGGAGTGTGGCTGGGCTGAGCGTGATGTATCGCTGGACTTGTGGTTCGACTAGCCAGCCTCCAGCCTCCGATCATGGCAGACTGGTGGTAGAAGGTTTGAAGATTCCGGCGACCGCCTTGATTCAGAAGGGGGAAATCTGGAGATGCAAGTGGTGGGAATGACATTCTATACCTACGTGTAGTTTCTCGTGCTGCCTTATGCTACCGGTACCTGGTACAACGTGAACAATAGATCATAGCATTTTTAACATCACAGCAACATTGTTTGCTTAGGGCATCAGAGTGTTATGATATTCCACTTTCCAGGACAGTTGGCTTTCCTCGGAGAATCGCGTAAGTCAAATCGAGCTCCATGACATTCTATATCTAGTTTCTCGTGCTCCCTTGCGCTACAACTTGAGCAATAGATCATACATGTAGCATTTCTAACATCGCAGCAACATTGTTTGCTTAGGGCACCAGAGTGTTATGATATTCCACTTTCCAGGACAGTTGGCTCTCCTCGGAGAATCGCGTAAGTCAAATCGAGCTCCTGTAGGCCAGCAGCTGCCATAAATGGAAGAAGCATAGTTTCAGGGTCCCTTTGAACAAGAGCTTGAGGATCCTTTTGAATGAGCTTATGTACACATTCCAGCATGTCGTGTTCAGTCGTCGACTCTGCGGGTGTGTGACCCAGCAAAAAGATATAGTCTGGAAGGGTCAATTCCTCATGGTCACAAGCACACGCAAGTGCCGTGTTGCCCTCAAGGTCCACCACAGACATATCGGCACCAGCGTCGACCAAGGCACGAACCAGGTTGGAGCGAAAGGCAAGAGGCTGGCAATAATTAGGATGACTGAGCGGCTTTTGACACGCGACGTGCAAGGGCGTCCTGCCGAGGTTGTCGGCTCTATTGAGATCGACTCCAGCATGGTGCAGCAACAACTGAGCCACCTTGTCCCCACTCCTGCCATCCTCTGCCCAGCCACAGCCGCAGGCCGCCAGCAAGGGCGTTCTTCCCCAGTCGTCGGTAGTGTTGAGGTCCACTCGCTTGTCCCGAAGCAACAACTGGACCACTTCGTGGTAGCCCCAGTTGGACGCCCAAAGTAGGGGAGTTCGACAAAATCCTCCGTGTGCATTCACGTCCACACCGGGATGATCCAAGAGTAGTGCCACAATTTCTGTATATCCATTCGCACAAGCCAAATAGAAAGGAGAACAGGTATAGGTACTATCTATTGCGTTTGCATCGGCTCCTGCTTTGAGAAGTATCCGGACCATGTCGGTTCTGCCAAACCGACAAGGGGGGTCCACCCAGCTCCATCCTCGGGCGTATCGACTTGAGCTCCACACTCTAGCAAGGCTTGGACGCATTGGCAGTGTCCTTGATTGCATGCGATTTGGAGCGCCGTGTATTTTTCAGAACCCCGCCATGAGGTTTCTCCCCTGGCATTGGCGTTGCCTCCAGCTTGGAGCAATTGCTTCAATTCCTCCGTATTTCCACGCCAAGCGGATTCAAAGACTTCTTGTTCGCATGGGGTAGTGGTACATGATGACGGCATCTTGGCTCGTTGCTGCGATAAATTCAAGGAGAAGCGCCGTTTTTCATCGGAAATTGTGAGATGGATAGATGAGTGACTTTACTTTTGATGTTGTGGACGTGCCACCAAACGTGGGTCGATCGGCGACTGATGATTTGTTCACCCCAGTCGGGTTTCCCACAGAACTTCTGGCCATCTTCTCGAATCCGTAGTACATGCTACATGTAGGGTAGTAAGCATCCCCAACATTCGATATGGCTTCTTCGGAACGCCCGCGCTGTGGTACTGCCGGGTCGCATTTATGTTAGGTGATGATACCGATAGCGTCGGTTCCATTGTCCCTACGGTATTCTTTCTATTTTCAGAACAACTGTCCTGGTTTGACACCTGCTTGAAAGGGTACATACCCACTGCCGTAGAGTTGCATTCGCAGCAATTCTTGGGAGATAATGACAAGAACGACGAATATCACGACGGAATACAAGAGCTCTGCCGTTCCATAGTCATTCTGAACCAGGTTGGCAAACCATCGAATAGGTGCAGGATCGTCGTCTGTGACTTCTTCGGGATCGAAAAATGGCTTGTCAAGAAAGTCGTCGATGCTTTCTTCGATATCGTGTGGTTTGTCATCTTCCTTCCGGTTGCCGTCATCATTTTGCTGCTGATTGTTCAATTGGGGTATCCGATGCCCAGACACATGCCGTGGTGGTATAGTGAGAGCATTGCGTATCCCTGCAGTTTGAAATGCATCAACAAGTCCATTTCTAGATGACACAAGAAGAAATATCGCCAAGAAAACAAGCCGCCATTGAAATCTTGGTTGCATCATCGCGTCGTTGCTCTGTCTAAAAAATGAGGCAAAAGTTGGATCGGTGGTAGATCACGGGACTGGATTTTAATCACGGCATCACACTGACGTACTTCTATTCTGTCTTTTTGTTTTTGTGGTGCCAGCAGCCTCCTTTCCAGAAACCAAAGCTTCGACAGAGAGCAGCTTGTCAAAGTGAGTGCCATCAAGGTTTTGAATTCCAGCTCCTTGTGTGGCTGTCAAAACATTGCCCTTCCGACCACTCTTTATCAGAATCCAAAGGAAAGAAGAATATTTGACGACCATGAAGATATCCAGTGCCTTTTTGGCCCTTTGTGTGGCGGCTACCTCCACGGATGCCTTTACAATTCACACCAAGCCATTCGTACAGCCCAGCCTGGTGTCGCTGCATGCCAAGAGGGTTAGCTTCCGCGAAGAATCTCGAAAAGCCCTGGTACAAGGAATCAACAAGGTAGCGGATGCAGTCAGAGTTACCTTGGGTCCCAAGGGACGTAATGTAGTTCTGGAACGAAACTATGGTGCTCCCGAGATTGTCAATGATGGTGTCACCATCGCCCGAGAAATTGTATTGCGAGACCCAGAAGAAAATGTAGGAGCCAAGCTCATTCAAGAAGTCGCTTCCAAGAGTGACTCCAAGGCTGGAGATGGAACCACTACATCCACCATCATGACACAAGCACTCGTCAACCAGGGAATGAGAGCCGTCACTTCCGGGGTCAGTCCTGTCGCTTTGAATCGAGGTATCCGAAAGGCTGCCAGGATTATTGCCGATGAAATCAAGGCAATTGCCACGGTAAGTAGTGTAGTGTTCTGGTGGGGATAGGGAAATGGTAGTGCCTAGGTGGAAATGGACGAGAAAGAACTGCCATCCATCCGTATACCCAACCACACTGTTCTCATGTTTGGTTTCTTGCACCCCTGTTTCATAACTCACCTTGCATCATGATTATCTTGTTCCTGACAGCCCGTTACTGGGATTGAAGATCTCAAAAATGTCGCCACCATTGCCTCTGGATCCATTGAAATGGGGCGTATCATTGCTCAAGCAGCGGACAAGGTCGGAGACACAGGATCCACCGTGGTCGAAGAAAGTCAAACCTTGGTCGACGAAATTGAATTCACGGAAGGATTGACCATTGATCGGGGCTACATTTCCCCCTACATGGTCAAGGATCAAGAACGTCAAGTGGCAGAGCTCGTCAACCCAAAGGTCCTCGTCACCGATGCCAAGATTGACGATGTCAATGATATTGTCCCACTTCTCGAACAATTGGTCAAGACCAAGGATCCACTTCTTTTGATTGCCGAAGATGTCACTGGAGAAGCACTCTCGGCCTTGGTGGTCAACAAAATGAGAGGAGTTTTAGATGTTGTCGCCATCAAGGCACCTGGATTCGGAAACAGACGGCGTGAGTATACCCAAGATATCGCCATTGCCACGGGAGCTTCCTTTGTCGCTGAAGAACTAGGAATTACCCTCGATGGCGTCACCTTGGACATGCTGGGAACCGCCGACCGCATCGTTGTGGGCAAGGAACAAACTACCATCGTCACAGACGGAAAGCAACAAGAAGCCATTGATGCACGCATCCAACAGCTCCGTCGAGAGGCAGAAGAAGCCGAAACCGACTATGATGCCGATAAGTGCACCGAACGTATTGCCTCCTTGGGTGGTGGTATTGCCCGAATCAAGGTGGGTGCTGCCACGGAAACTGAATTGAAGGACAAAAAGCTGCGATATGAAGATGCCTTGAACTCGGTAGATAGTGCTCGAGAGTTGGGTATCGTTCCTGGTGGAGGTGCTTGCTTGGCTTATCTTCAATATACTATGGTTGATAAAATCCTGGACGGCATGGACGGTGAGGATGAAAAGGCAGGTGCTCAAATCATGATCGCTGCCATGGGCTATCCTGCCATGCAAGTTGCCGAGAATGCTGGAGTCGAAGGTGCTGTTGTACTAGCAAAGATCCAGGCTATATGCGAAGAAAAGGGCGTAAGTTGGTTTGCCGGCTGCAAAGGATGCGTTCCTATGTATGTTATCTAGGCAAGAATATCCTGACCCTTTGTTTGCCTGCGACGGTCATATCTCTCCTTCGTCTTACCCACCAGTTTGGACATGGATGGGATGCTGGCGCGATGGAATACTGCAATTTGATGGATAGAGGTGTCATTGATCCTGCCAAGGTCACCATCAACGCTGTTGAAAACTCGGCCAGTGTCGCTGGTCTGGTACTCACCACTGAGTGCTTAGTCACTGAAATCCCCGTTTCAATGTCGGAGGAAATGAAGCAACAACTGTTTGATCAGCAGGCCATGGGAGCCGGTATGGGTCCCGGCATTGCCTAAATAGAAATCGTCTCGACAAGAAGCATTGCCAGAAGATAGCCAGCAAGAGATAGTGTTTTGTAACTAGTTAACTCCCACTTCATGACGTCGGGGGTACCGTAGAAGAAAGCAGAATGCCGACAACCAAGCATCATTGCTACGAATGACGATACAGCAAGCAGCGTAGTCCGCAAACGGTTTATTAGTAGTAACGTAACAAGGCGTAAAATCAAACTTCAATTAAATCAGTACCGTCCTGCAAACTTGGCATTCAGCTTTGTCCTTCCACTACCATCCTGATCGGCAGGAGCACGCCATTCGTCCTTTTTCAAATCAATGGTGGTTGAGGCTTGCTTTTGGGTTGCAGTAGCGTCTGAATTGGACTTGGGTTTGGCAAATTGACTTCTTGTGTTACCTCCCGTAATGGCCGCCAAGGTGCTTCCCTGCGGCGGTGGCCCAGCGGGACCCTTTGTTTTCTTCTTTCTCTCCCCGTTGTCATTGCTTGCCATGATTGCAGCCAGTGTCCCCCCTGGTCGAGCCGCAGGCCCGTTCCTGACTTTTGGCTTGACGCCTGTATCTTCCGAAATTTGATCGTCCGAGCTGCCGTCCGGAGCTGACGGTGATGGTCCCGCGGTCCGCTTTCGTTTGGGTGGTGGCATCATGAAACCTCCTTCCGTGGAGCTACTTTGTTCTGGTTGTTTTGACATTGGAGGTGGCGGCATCATGCTATTGGATGACGCCATGGTTGGTGGAGGTGCCATGTCCTTGTGTTGCTGTTGTTGGATTCGCGCATCCTCCTTGAGTACAAGCTTTGGATTGACAATTTTGAGCAATGCTTTGGCTTCTGTCAATTGCTCGTCAATCTGCTGTACCTGTTTTTGAAGTTTGTCGACCTGTTCCTTGGCAATGGAGAGATCATTTTGCACAAAGAAAGCTTCCCCATCATCCCCGGCAGCGATGAGTCGATCGTATCGTTGTTGCAAGGGAGCGACCTTTTGGTCCTTGGAACGTTGAAGCAATGTATTCTTTTGTTGCCATTGTTCTTGCAGTGTGTTCCACTTTTTCAACAGCGAGTCTTCTGTTTCCGCCTGATTGCTGTTTTGTTGTTGTTGTTTGGCAAGTTCCTGATCTTTGGTGCGGTCAAAGAAATCATCCACGTCATCCTCCGCTTGATAGTATTCTTTTCGTTTTTTGCTGCTGTCGTTCTTATTGACTTTGTCTGGAAATAGTTTTTGATAGAGTTCCTTTTCTCGATCTAAAATTTGTTGATGCAATTCGATTTGTCGCTTGTCATTTTTCTGTAGCTGATGTTCTTGTCCCGTGGTGAGGTCCCCTTTGACTCGTATCCTTTGACTTTCGGTAGTTACATTGTTGAGTTTGTATTTGAGAGCACAAATTTTCTCCCACGCTTTGAGATGTTTTTCGGGAATATTACCAAAGTTTTCCAGAGCTCGTTGTCGTGCCATTGCTTCATCTTCTTCGTCGCCATCGTCTTGTTCTGCCGCATAGTCACTGGCTTCGGCCATGGAGATACCCCAAGAAACCCCCGAGTCTTCTTCCTTTTCTTCCTTGTCTTGTTCTGCTGGGTTACTGTTGCTAGTGCCATTGTCCTTGTTTTCTGTGGATGCTGCTAATTGTTGCTGCTTTCCCTTTTCAAGATACTGCTGATTGAGCAGTTCCATTCTCTTGTTGCCTCGTTGAAATTCGGGTGGTCCTTCGAGACAATAAATGCGAGTGGATGCTCCAAATACAATGACGTCTCCGGGATACAACACCACTCCTCGAGATCCCTTTTGGGTACTATCGGCTGGTTCCGCCTTGCTACCGCACGCCATGGGTGGAAGTCGCTTCTTGTTGACTTTGGTCCCATGCGACGAGGCGCAATCTCGCAACCATGGCGTTCCTGACGAATCAAAAGCTATTCTGGCATGACAGCGAGAAATGGATTCGTGATTCAGGGGAATGTGCACTTGATCCGCGGCACGGCCGAATAGCCAGGAAGGACGTTGGCTGAGGACGGTCTGTGCAATCTCGACGCCATTCTTGATCTCGATAACTTTCCAAGTTTGGTCCTGAGGTAGCCGAGCCCACTCAGGATCTGGATAGAATTGGTCTTCCAGTGGTGCTAGGGGGGTGATCAGGAGAGCGGTATCATGGCTACCGGTACTACCATTGCTGATATCGGGCATCTTGATGAATGCTTGATGATTGATGAAATTGTGGGATCAAATGAGAAAGCAGCGGCCGCGTTGGAAGTGTGTGGGCAGAATGTTATCCTCAATCTTACAGTAGAAATTTATTCTAGGTCCCTGCCATGCATCGGCTACAATTAGTAGGCACTCGACACTTTTTGGCCAGACAAATGTATGGATGAGTGGCAGATAGCTCTGATATACAGATAGTATTGTGTCATTGTGGTGATGGGATCGTTGCCAAGTGACATAAGGACCAAGAACTAGCCACGTGATATCGAATAGTCAAACGAACTTACAACTAGCCAGGCAGTGGAGTGTTCTGACTGCCAGTTTGGTTGAACCAAGCAGCAACTCGAACGGTGGCGCTGAAGTCCTCTGAGCGTTCATGGCTGTTGCAGCAAGGGAAATGTCAGGACATGGCCACACGCTACCGTACCTACTGGCCCCCATCGTTTTCTCCCCACACGCAAACTCTGCGTCCATCATGCTCCGAGGTTCCCTCTCGTTGAGTTCTTCGGCCAAACTTGCCAGAGTATGGAAAGAGTTCGTGGACCGTCCCTACATAGACTACGGGTTTTGGTTCGAATCATACCGCCTGTGCTACGGTATCTGGTACGGAGCTGAGGACGCTCGGTATTTGGCGCAGAGCTCACAGTGTAGCACACGGCACTTTGTCATCGAGCCCGCCACCCTGGTTGCCATGAACGAAGTGGTTCTAAAAACAGAGTAGTACAGTGGAAGGAAGGTTGTCAGCAAAAACAGGCTATCCCCCGCACTATTACCAGTAAGGTATATGTATGTATTGTAATCAAACAAATTGTGGTGGCAATCACATTCCTGAGGTTCGCCGAGGGGTATCCTTTGACGATGGTTTCAAGAATCCACCACCGCCACCAGCGGGCTTTTTCGGCTTGCCCTTTCGTTCTCCTAGTAGGAGGAAGATAGAATTCAATCAGATAGATTGATGTGAGCGAAAGAATCGAATCATGTGGAGCAGTTTACGCGCTAGCAGAGCACTGACCTGTAGTTCCACTCCCAACCTTGCCAATCTTAACCTTGATCTTTTCTCCTTCCTTCAGCCGATAGTCTTTGGCGGGTATCGTTGGTAGATCGACTGGATTCTTTTCTAATTCTCGTTCCTTCCGAGAATCCTCCAAAGAAGTGTTGAAATCAAAGGCATCGTTTCGCTCATTAAATGCCATACCAACAAACATATGTCGTCCATTGGCATTCTCTACACGGACCACAAAATAGCGACTGGAATCCACACATCTGTCTACCGCTCCATCTTTGACGGGACAAACCGCAAAAATAGCTCCTGTATTCCGGTCCACTAGCAGTACCACTGTCAAATCGCCTCGTTCGACTACCTTGACCATTCCTTGCCAAACTTCTTGGTCCCAGTCGGCGCCTCTCCATCCACCTGCAGTTTGTCTAGGTGGTAGCTTGAAAACATGCGCATCGTTGATGACGCAGCGAACTCGTTCAATGACTTCGGGATCTTCTAATGATGCTAGGTAGGCAGCAGCGTCGCTGGGAACTCCTGCTTCTTCGGCGGTAGCTGGACCTCCCTTTGGCTTGCCAGGAGTGCCTTTGGCAGCTTTTTTCATGGTAATTCGATCGTGATCTGATTTCCAATTCGAAGGGGGATATGCTGTTTGCTATCTTTGCTGCTGGTCTCTTGAAGAACAGTCCAATGGAGATAATTTATCCAGTGTCGACTTCGTAACCAGCCAATGGAATCGAATCTCGTTTGGTATCTTCAACAGAGCAACTGTAGTAGGTAGCAAGGGTAGCAGATTGTCAAACGGGTAATCATAGGTCTCAAGTCGTCAGCGTCCTCTTTGTTGGTTTTTGCCGACAACTCTAATCTAGCTGGATGGCAGCCCGCCTAACGAAAACACAATAAGACACTAAGAAGAGGATCCTCTGGAGGTGCACACAGACAAGTGGCACAGTGCCGCAGTGATTGACCATCCAAAGCAAGACATCCGAGGAATATGGGGCTCTTGTGAGTCTTTTTCCTTGGACTCATGACTCCGTTTGCCGCCACTCCCACGCGCTCCGATGTCCAGACAGAACACGAAAGTGGGATAAACCTCCTCTTTTGCTGTGGCTCTGTACGACTGTTCTGTTCAGCCGAGGAGCGGGTAGCAAAAGGGTACCGGTAGGGGAGACGGAAAGAGAAGATTATTCACACCTCTGCGGAATCTTCTGCAGATCTGAGGTCTCAAATAGGTCCTAGATAGCTAGCAAACTTCTAGTAGAGAGAATGCGGGTGAAAATGTATGTTGTAACCCGGGTAGTGGTGTTTGCTAATCCTTCTTTTAAAAACCTCATTCTACACAGAGAGAAGTGCGGAGAGAGCAGAGGAGTTTCTTCATCCGCCCTTTGAAACTAAACAGTCTAATATTGTGGGTTGCTTCAGACGGTAATCCCGACCTCTTTTATTGTAGAGGTTTAATGATATCATGGATCCTGTGATGCAGTCTGCAGTCTGCCGGCCATCGTATGGTACGGTAGAGATGGTAGTACCGGTACCTTGCCAGCTAGCTAGTAGGTAGCACAGCACAGGAGCCTCGAGAACAGCGTGCTACTGGGTGGTAAAAATGCGGAGAAACAGCTCCCATTGAGAGATATCTGATGTAAACAAACAAAGCAATGGAAACTACAGCAATACATGGCAACCTCACCTTTCTCGCTTCTGTCTGACCTCAGTCGGATCATCAAAGTAATCAAAGTTGGCAAAATCCAGATTCTGGGTTTCTTCTTGGGAAGCGTTTCTTCTGCTGTCCTTGGTATCATTCTTTGGTGGTTTCAGCTTTTCTTTGTCGCCCAGAAAGGGTAGTTTGACTGGCTTCGATTGTGGTAATACAGGCAAGAATTCTTCAGAGCCAGGTTTTGATTGTAAATGTAGGGGACAATGTGAACAGATAGTTAGATGCCATGGTTTTCAATTGAGACCAACAACCACAGAGAACTCAATTCAGCATCACCTGGCTTTTTCTTGAGGATGCCGACTGGCTGTTCCGACTCCAGTTTTCTCTCCTCCCGATCCTTCTTCGAAGTCGCAATTGCCACCTTAAAGTCAAAGGCATCGTTCCGTTCGTTAAAGGCTATTCCTATGGGATTCTTGACTTTGAGAATGAAGTATCGGCTGGAATCTGCACAGCGTTCCAATTCATCTTCCTCCAGCGGGCACACTGCAAAGAGTTCATCGGTCACACGATCTAGCAAAAGCAGAAATGTATGATCCCCTCGTTCAACTACCTTGATGGTGCCTTGCCATAGCTCTTTGGTGAGGGACGTCGCTGACCAGCCAGAAGAAGGCCGAGGTGGAACCTCCAAAATGTGAGCATCGGGGATCTTGATATACTGATGCTCAACCGATTCAACTAATTTGCCGTACTGAACTCGATTGTCTGGAATTCCAGCTTCCTCGGCACATTGTTTTTCGAGTTTCTTATTCTTTGAAGCGCCTTTATTATCATGCCTATGAGCCGACGGTCTCTTCATTTGCAACGTTTTCAGTTTCTTGGATGTTGTTTTGGTGGTAATGGGTCTATCATCATGGTGTGATGTGCAGTGTGTGGGGAGTTTGTGGGAATTGCCATTCACACTTTTCATTTTCAACCGAAAAGATACCGTACGGTACTTAGAAGCCAAACCGTACCCAAGCAAGACTCCTAAGTCTTCTCATCGCTAAGTTTTCGATCCTTTAGGGTGTGAACGCGTCATGCTCTCCGGAACTTGATCATTCCTGGCTTGACCTTTCCGTTCCCGCAAAAGAGACAGCTTTCTCGTCAAGCTGCGCTGTATGGTCTCTTGCTGCGGAACAGTGCTTGTCAAACGGTTTCAAGTCAGTTGGATACAACCTTGAGCACCAGTGGTGTCCGTGTAGTTTTCTCATAGCATGGACCGCAAGAGGTGGGGTTTCACATATGCCACCGTGCAACTTGGAGTTGCTTGTAGCCCGCAAGGAATTTCGATGTTTGTTGACCCCGTCGCTATGAGCGGGACTTCCCGTATTTTGAGAAGCAGACTCTTGACTTTTAGACTGCCAAAGCGGGCAAAAAGCATGTAGTGATGCTTGGGGTCTGCTCAAAACAAAGGGAAATTTACCATCACACACCATACCATACGGTACTACCATAATGACAAGCAATTTTGCCAGCCCAATGAGTGTGGGCACACCCATCAATGAAAACATCACAGCACCTCATTTCCACAAGGTGATCAACCACTTCTCTGCTGCCCTGGGCTTCATTAGCTATTGCAGGTACGTGTTCTTGCTACCAGCCCATGTGTCTTTGCAGCCAGAACTCCACGCTTGTACTTCCAAATAGCGTTCTATCAAGGCCGAGCTGCCCACTTCCCAATGCTATGCTTGGCCTTCCTACCGTAGCTAGCTAGTTCAACATGGGTACCACAGGTTAGCTAGCCTGTGACGTCACCACGGGGAGGAAACGGTCGTGAGTCAAAGTCAAAAAACAGTCACGAAATGAAAGACTTAGAGACTTACCACGCCCTCCCACAAATTTCAAAAACCCCGCCAGTCTCCGAGAATGCTCACCCTCCCGCTGAGGTGTGATCATTTTGTTTTGCTTTTTACCAAGAAAACGGTCATTGTGGGATTGAATAATGGCACTTAGGTCACTTCAGAATTCCTGTTTCCGAGATAACACGAATCATTTTTCATTGTACCCATTGCCTCAATGTTTTGCGACAGTGTATTGCTTGGCATCGGCCAATTCCTGTTATCGTCACTGCGTCTTTGTAGCACCAACACTCCTAGCTCTCAAAAAGAAGATGCGAGAGATTCCTTTCGTACAGTCTTAGTGCAAAAAAAGTGACTTCCGTCTAGACACACTCCTTCTTTTGGTGATGATTTCAGCGAACTCGCTAATCGCTGGAAATGGCCCAATGCGTGATCGCAGAAATCGCAGAAAAGAAACGGTGACCACATGTGACCTCTCTGACTTATTTGTGTACTTAGAAGTTTTTTGACCGGTTGTCTTAGAGTCCATCTCCCAAATATCGCCAAGCGGGACACTGTAGAAAAGATACTAATGGCTACGAAGGATCCCACCCATAAATGATTACTTGCTTGGTGGTCAAAGATATCGCCCTTATCGCCATTTTGTGCCTCTAAGTTCTAGTAAATCGTGAATCGATCTATGCTCACACTTTTGGTATTTAAAAGCCACAATGTCTAAGTATCAGCGAGTTGCTAATCACCACTTCATCTAAATAGTTGCTCGCTGTTGCCCCTCATGAAAAAAAATGGACCTGTCGATCTCACCACCTGCCAACATCTCCCCAATTACTTCGTATGCCAAGTCTTCATGTAGCCGTTCTTCGTCCTCCTCGGTAGCCGTACGTTCCTCCTCCACCATGCGTCCACCCTCCGACACTGGAGTCAAGTCCAAGTCTCCGAAAAGATCCACAAAGTCCTCGTAGTCGTTGTCGTCTTCTGCCTTCTGCTCCATCTTCTCGGCTTCTTCGGAATCCTCAATCGGGAGGTAGTCATCGTCCTCGTCTTCACAAGTTCTTTCTCGTTCTTCCTCCATCCTCTCTATTTCATGTACCGTCAGCCGTACCCTGCAGAAGCCCTCCCACATTGCCTCCCACTCGTTTCCCTCGTTCTTCCTGCGCCACATAAACTGGAACAGGTACTCCTGAAGGTCTACCCCAGTCCGACACTGAACCGGGATCGCCCGCTTAAGAGGTGTCCAGTTCCCTTCGATGGTCTGGGTGTGTGTTCCTTCCTTGGAAACAAATTCGTACTTGTGACAGAGTGTTTTGTGGTCGTACCCTAGTCGTTCCAGGGATAAGTATCCCTTCCACATGTCCGTGTGAATTGTCGATCCTGGGTGGACAAATGTCATGATTGCGTGCTCCAGAGTCTTCCTTGTTCGGTCTGGAACAACCAGGAGCACCATCCTTCTTTGTTGTGTTCTCTCCACCATTCCGAGCACCCAACTTCCCTTTACTCGTCTCCCTTTGTGGTATTTTCGTTTGGCAAATTTCGACTCATCTATCTCCACGATGATGTCATGCCCTCCAATCATGTTGTTGTCGTGTGGCTAGCTGATCACTATCTCCTGTGCCATCTTTCGGCACCATTTGAGCCATCTTATTGCTGTTTCTCCATCCCATCCCAGCATGCTGCATACCATTTTGTGCGTGGCATTGGTCAACCAGAGATATAAGAGAAGGAGCACTTCATTCTTGGGCAACCGGCAATCATGCAGGAAGCTCCCTCGAAAGAATGAATTCGTCCATGGGTTTCCCGGACTCCAAGTCCAGCGACACTCCAGGTTCTGGCATTGCTTTCCATTATCTGTAGTACTGACTGGCACTGTACGCATGTCTGTGCAGGGGCACATCTCACATTTCGTTGGTGGCTTCCACACGCAGTTTGCTTTCTGGCATCTGCTTTGGTGTCGTTTCCAGCACGGTTTGACCGGTGCACTGCATCTCCCACAGACGGATGGGATGGTGATGCATCCCTTATGTGCGAGGAACTTTATAGCCGCAGCTTCGTCGTGGATGACCTTTTCCAGCTCCCTGAGTGTTGGCAGTCCATCTATCTTGTCTTTCCATATGTCTCTGACTTTCCCCTTTCTGGACTTGAACCGGTTGATTCGCTTGTATGGCTTTTTTCGTTTCCTGGGTGGCTCATCTTGTCTGTTTTCGTGGTCGTTCGTTCCTGGTGGATCGGCACTTGCCACCGCCGGTACTGTCCGCACTTGAATCGGCTCCTGATTTGTCTCACTGTTCTGTGCCTCACTGTTCACACCTCCAGGAAGTGGGATTGCGTCGCCCCTTAGCTCTCGCAGCAGTTTCTTGGCGAATGCCTTTGCCTTTCTAATTCCTCCTTGGTGTCCTCTTGGCATTTTTCGTCCTCTTCGATCGCTGGTTTTTGTACCCAAATGTCACACTGTGCTTGGCAGCAAAATGCTGTACAGCATGACTCTTCCCACAGAAAAACAGTCCATCTTCAACTTGGTATCTTGCGTTCTTTCACGCCATGCCGTACTGCCGTCCATGCGTCCATGTCGTCACATAGGCGCTACGGGCTTGCACTGAGTATGCGTAATCCCCTACTGGAAAAAGGATGCCAGCCCCTAAGAATGCTTTTGTATGAAACCATACTCTAATATAGATTATGATCCTGCTCTGCCTCACCCCTCTATGTACCATACCGAGAGTGCAGCCAGCAATCCAATGAAATAGGTGAACAGATCTGCATTCCTGGCGCCCCAACTCCCTCCAGGACCGTTCATCGTTTCTGTTTCTTCCTCTGCCATCAACAATGCCGCATCCCCACAAAAAAGTCCATCAAATCTAAGTGTTAAAAAATCATTTTGTTGTCTTTATCGTCTTCATTTCCCTCCTCCCGCTTTAGGTTTCACAGCCTTCAGGATGGACCCCCCATCAAACCAGGAGGATCTGTTCCCCGAGCTGTCTCCCGAGGCCATCCGTAGTGCAGATGAAGCAATTGCGCAGTATCTTGCAACTTGCGAGTGTACGGACAAATCCAAGAGTCCCACTCAACTGTTTTTGAGCGGAGAATACCAGTCTCCTTCCGGTGTTATGACGGTGAGTTCCCTTGAAGCTGAAATGTCCGACAACAACAGAGAATAGAAAAGAGCAAAAAGCATTCCGTATTGTTCATCTTACACCGTTACGTCTTATGTGGACACCATTCAGTCGCCGATGAAGTACACCCGTTTCCAAGAAGAACCGTCTGCATTGAAAGTGGCTTCCAAGGAATCTCATCACGAAAATGGCAGCAAGATGACCTCCGAGACGGGCGATATCTATCCCGAAACAGGGGGTGATGCTGCTTCGAAGAGAAAGCTTAGTCCGGCTAAACCATCTGCTCCCACCCCCTCGTCCCAGATCAACAAGATGCCCCCTCTGAAGCGTTCGTCCATTCCAGCTGAAAGTGGAAAGTACGTACAAAATGGTACCACCGGATCCTCCAGAGCCCGTGTCAAGAAGCCCATCCCAAAAGATGCTTTAATTCTCACTATCGACAGCGACAGTGAAGAGGAAAACAGGAAGATGCCCCCTGTTAAGAAGGAAAGTGTACTACCCAGTCACAGCTGGACGGCGACTGTTGTGAAGACAGAGAAAGTGGAAAAGAAAGCTACAGTTCCCCACCATCAAGGTAGCCGGATCACAGTGGACAAGAACAACAACACCACTGTCTCAGGCGGATACGAGGACTGGCAGATCAATGCAGCCAAGAGGGAGATGGCAGAGGTTTATAGAGACGTCATCTCAAAGCACCCACCACCACCACCAGATGGTTGTTCTTTTTTACCTGCTGCGAGACTCCAGGTGACTGGCCGTACTGCCGAAAGTGCTGCTGCAGTCTCGAAGCAAGGTTCTGTCCAGTCTGCTGCGAGTGCAAGCTTCCCTGGTGTCATGCATGCAATGAAGAGCCGGTCATTTGTGACTGCCACTCCAGCTACTGCCAAGCATGCACCACCTAGCGGCCGTGTGGAACGCCAGAGGCGTAAGTCAAAGAAACCGATTGAAGTGGCCACTTCGTCATCATCGAGTGAGAGCGAGAGCGAGGAAGAAACATCCTCTGAAGACTCCATGGAAATGGAGTTCAGCAAAGAAGAGCAAGCCAAGCTGGAACAGATGGGGCCCTACGCAAGAGCAATTTACAAGTCTGAAATCAAGAAAGCTCGAAGGGTGAAAGAAACAGCGGCCAGGCTGAAAGACAAGTTTGTGAAATACAGTAAAGCCCCCCTGTACAACGGCTCTTCGAAAGAGAACAAGGCACCCAACAGCTACCTTGCACGCAAGAAAAAAGAATGGAAGAAGAAAGAGGCCCAAGCTCAGGTCCGTCACATCTTGAAGAAAGAAGAAAAGAAAAGCAACAAAATCAAAAAGAAGCCAGGTCGCTCTAAATCCCTTGGACCTTCTCTGAAGCTTGGAGAGTGGCCCCAGTTCTGGTCGTCCGATAGCATGTTTCACGCTAGAGCCACCAGGAATCCTGGTGCCAGTGGCGTGCACTCCACCCTTCTGGATGGAGCAGGTAGTACACCAGATTACCGAATCCCAGCGTTGAACCTTAAGTCAAGCGATCGTGCAAGCAAGCAGCGGGTGTTGCAGGCAATGAAAGTTCCCGCTTTGAAGCTTTTGGTTGCCATGACCAAAAGCACATTGGCACAGGACAAAACTCTCCTGTACCACTTTGTGGATGTGAATGCCAGCAAAGAAGCCGACCCACCCACACCTGTGGAGAACTGTGTGGCGGCTCTCATTGCTACTCTCGTGGATCTCTACATGGACTAGTCTCTCAGACGAAACTTTAGGTAAGTGTGTTGCCAAAGAAGCAGCTGTGAAAAAAGGAACGAAAAAAAAGAAAGAAAAAGGAACAAAAAATGAAGACCGAAAAGAGTTGTGACTGTTGTGACTGCATTCTATTCGCGCAGTCAACAAATAAGAAAATAGTGTGGTAAAAACAGTAGTGGAAGAAGTGATTAAAAAAGTACAGCCTTTTCTATATAGTTATGTTCACCTTAGCGGGAGAGGGTCTGTATTCTGGAGGGGTGGCAGGGTTTTTTAAAAAAGTGTGCGGGCGCTCCAAGAGTAACAATGTGGTATTGCCACGTCACAGTGGCAATACCCCCTGTCAACCGTTCAACATTCCAGGTACTGGTAGTAGCGGTACCGTACAGGAGTGGAGTGACAATCGAATCTTCGATCGAATCGAATCATTCGACTCGACTCGACTCGACTGTCACACCTCCCTCACGTTGATCGTGCCCGTGCTGTCCCCTCCTCGCATTATTTTTGCTCGATTTTGTTCAAATCACAATCACACTTTTCGTCCTCTTCCTCCGGTGCAAAGCGAAATCATGACGCCCAAAGGAAATCCCAATACCAATAGCGACAAGGACTTCGTCGAAACCACTGTCACGCCACCAGTGGGTGTGAGTAAGAGTGTTCGATCCTCCCCGCTTTGTTCCTCTGGCAAAATGCCGCGAAAGACCAAAGCAGAGCTTCCAATCGCGCAAAAGAAAAAGGCTATAGCCACTCTCACTCCTCCTGACTCTGCAAAGGCTCCAAGCAGCATTGGGTTTGTTCCTGTTGGAAGTGAAGAAGATTCAAAGAAAACGATGGCTGTCAACAATGCTGCATCTGCGAGCAGCAACACCAACACGGCGGTCGTCGCCGGTACCCAATCGACTCGTGCACCAAAACCTGCGTTGCTCGTCACCAATCCAGTTGGAAACAACAAGACGGACGAAGAGAAAAAGGCGCATGCCAGTGTCAACAGCAACAGCAGTGTCAACAGCACAGCAGGCGACCCTCTGGCTGGATCTGGACGATTCTTGGAAGGCGAAACCCATCGGAACAACCACGACAGCTTTGACCAATTGTTGGCCGATGCTTTCTCGCTTGGTCACGCCAGGGGCTATTTCAAAGCCACAATGATGCAATGCGTTCTGATGGGGCAGCATCTCCAGGCCCTCAGCTGCCACTCTCGTGAAATCGCACGGTTCTACTCAATGTCCGAATGTTGGCTCCGCAATTTGGTCGTCTCGCTGGGTCCCGCAACTGACAACACCACTGCTTTGCAAACTGTGGCTCCTCACTACAAAGAACTAGCGCTCTATCATGAGCAAATCCAAAAGAATATGCACGATGAGATTGCCGGAAAGCAGCAGTATCTGCAAATGGCCATGCGTCGCATTCTTGACTTTGAACTCGTTGTCAATCAGACGGAACGTGAACTCTTGGCGCGTTGTCACGCAGTTGGCGTTGCTGCGACACGGCAGAGCCGTCGTGGCACCATCGCCACACAGAACGAGGCTGAGGGCACGCCCCAGGAAACTGTACCAAAGCGGGAACGTGGTGAAAGCGCCGACACTGCGGTGGACGGTGAATCACCCACGAAGAAGCGCAAACTCGTCACTCCGGTGGACGCCACCGCTGTGACGATTGACTCCGAATCGCAGGCTACGGCAGGTCTAGCCGTTCAGACGGCTGGTGACAGAGATGGTGCCGAGACCGGCAAAAAGGCGCTTCGTCGAGTGAGCGTTGCCATCTCAATTTGAAAAGCCGAAGAGCGAAACACGAGCCGACACCGGCTTTTTGTTTGTTTGAGATAATCATTGGAATGGAAAAATGTATGTTTGAAAAGTCTTTGGGCATCCCGACTTGACTTGACTCGACCGAAAAGGCCCGTCCTTCTTGGAAACAAAGTGGTTCCAGTACAGTGTTGGAAGCAACAGGTTGGAAATTTGGCATGCGACCTCAAACTGTCGATTGGGATGTTGCCTGCAGGAAGAATTCTGACGTGATCGACGAAGACGAGCACACGTAGCTATACAAAGAGTAGTAAATAACCACCTGGAATGTTGAGTGTCATAGGTCGTAGCTTTGGGCTAGTGTAGTTCGACCATTTTCCCGAAGTCGACTATACCGTACCAGCAGGCGCGACAGCAGGACTGTAGCATCTATTATTGTGCCGCCATGCAGCACAGCCAACACAACGCACGCCAACTATTGCAATAGAAAATATGGATCTGTTCAGCTAGACTACGGTAGTTGTTGTTCATTTATATATTTATACCTTGTTGGTTTGCTCCACGATGGTTTGCATTTCTTGCTTCCACTCTTCCACGGAAATTTCTCCAGTTCGCTCCACGGCATCCTTGTCTTGTCCAGGAATCTCCTGAAACGGCGCAAACTTCCTCGCCAACAAGCACTTTTGCTCTCTTGCCAATCGAGCAATATTTCGGAAATCTCGAACCCCCTTGGTAAAACAGGCCGGATTTCTCGCCCCCATGGACCAATCGGTGTATGTGATGCGACGTTGTTCGAGCCACGCCAGTCCTTCGGATTGTTGCTTTGGTGGTGGTACTTTCGGTGGCGGTGGAGGTGGCTGCAGTGATTCTGCTTGTTTGGATTCGTCTTGTTTTGGTGGTGGCACTCCTGGCGGCGGCGTCCATTTGAGAGGACTCCTGGCAGCACTATTGTTGTTGTTGCTGTTGCTGCTATTGTTGTGCGTCGTGGAAGTATCCACGAGTACACCCGCCAACGCCAATGCTGTTGGAAAGTACATTTCATCACTGGCATTGATACGGCGAAAGGAATTCCAGAGCTGATCTTTGGGCGGAATAATGTTTCCATTGCGATCCAGGTCCAAAATGGCGGCCGCATGAGTGCGACTCAAGCACATCCATTGATCTGCTTTCCATCGGTAGCGTTTGGGTACCACTCTATTAATGCCATTGAATTGATCCCGTTCGTACTTGTTGGAAGGAGTATTTGGCGAATTGAAGTTTCGTGCATTTACCCATGAGACATCCAAGTAGATCATTTTGTACGATGAGGGTGTTGCTGTGGTTGTGGTTGCATCGGCCATAGTACTGTTCTTGTCTTCTTTAGCTGTTTCCTTGGTAGTCTTGTCGTCACTTTCCTCATTTTTGGGTTCCGAGGTCGAAGCTGGCTCCTCGTCCGCTTTCTCCTCGGACTCATCTTTTTCTTCCTTCTCATTGTCTTCGTCTTCTCCTTTTGCGCCTTGTTCCTCCTTTGCCGCTGCTTCGTCAGAGTTTGCTTCCGTTTGCTTATCTTTGTCTTCCTCTTCTTGTTTGTCGGCTGCAGATTGCGATTCCTCCTTTGCATCACCTTCGGCTGCAGGTTTCTTGGGTGGCGGTGGAGTAAACTTTGGCCTTGCGGCAAAACATTTGGGTCCAAAAAAGAGTGCCTGTACGGTTTCCTCCAAGGTAGTGACAGGGATACAAGTTTCACTAATGAAAATGAATTTGTCCACGGGAGGAACATCTCGTTTGGCCAACTCTTGGACATCCTCATCGTCATTGTCTGCCGTCATACAGAATCGATTGGGATGAAATCTTGGATCTTCGTGATCCTTGTTTCGTTCTCCCTTGCGTCCCATTTGCATGGCCGCCACGAGTAGATCGATCATGGCCCGTGTGATTTCTACGGATCCCCATGCGGGTTGATGGGAGAGGAATTCAGGATCCGAGAGTGAATTACCCCGTACAATGCGGCGTGGATGCAAGAGCATGCGTTGCTGCAACCATTTGGAGGTGACCTTGTCGGGATATTTGGCGTGACAAACGAGACTCACATGGTAGCGACTGTTCTTACTGGCGTCGGCAGCCCATGCTTTCCAAATGTGTTCGTACGGTAGTTCGTCAATGGTAATGGCCAAGAGACAGATATGGAGAGGACGGTCGCTGTTGTGGGCGCTAATGGGAGGTGGTCGATGATAGGGAGATCGGGGAAGACGGTAGCCAAAGCGGGCCAATCCATCCAGAGATCGATCTCCTCGATTGTTGCTGTTGTTATTGTTGTGTCTTCCACCGCGATCATAGTTGTTGTTATCTCGCGGATGGTAGTTGTCGCGTCGAGGCCTCGCTTGGTACCGTCGATGATCGTCGCGGTTATGGTCGTCCTGGTTGTCACGTCCTCGTCGACGGTTCTGCGCATTCGCTGCTGACTGCTCCAAGTTCGCTAGACCAGAAGCAAAGTCCATCTTGCCCTTTCGATAATTATCTACGTTAGTATCACAACTCCTTGCTTGCTGAGCCAGTAATAATATGCTCCACAATACCAGTACGATAGATTTAGCTAGCTAGTAGAAGTCAAGAAGTCGAAGAGGCCACCACTTGCTCATTGTGATCGATGTTGCGTGCAACGGACAATAAGATCAGTCACGAGCTAAGAAAAAGATTCATTCACGTTTTACTAAGTTAAGAGACGGGTTAATGAGTTACTCGTTACTAAATCTCCCTCCACACATTTCTTGAACCTCAAGAATTGGTGTTATCGCTGTCGCTCGCTGTCTCGCTGTGGCTACTGTACTTTGGAATTGAAGGTGGGTTGACCATGGCCGATGCGATGCGATGCGATGCGATGCGATGCGATACGACGATGTGTGTTTTTGTTTCCAATGTCGATGTTACTTAGTTAGTTGTGGATGCTGGCTAGTAGTCTTAGTGCCGCTCAATGGATAGCAGCGGAAGTCGAGGCTCGCTGCCCTGATGGTTTCCCCTTTCCTGAGTGTCACTGTCGCTGGTCGATGTTCTGTAGCATGCGGTGCCCTTGTTTTGATACTTCCAAGAAGTTTTACCTGTTGTACTCACCCAGTCGTTGCGCTGTACGTCTCTCTATTTCTCTTGTCACCAGAGTTATCGACTTGTTCTATTCCCATTTCCGTCTTCTCCCTCCACTTTACCACATTACAACGCTAATAACTTGCAATCATGGGTAAACCCAATGGTCTTCGAACCGGACGTAAGCTCCGCAATCACCGCCGAAATCAACGTTGGCGTGATTTGAAATACTGCAAAGCTAACTCCATCACCGCCATGAAGGCCAATCCCATGGGAGGATCCACCATGGCCAAGGGAATTGTCTTGGAAAAAATTGGTATTGAAGCCAAACAACCCAACTCGGCCATTCGTAAATGCGTTCGTGTCCAACTCATCAAGAATGGAAAGAAAATTGCCGCTTTCGTGCCAAGAGATGGTTGCTTGAACTTTGTAGATGAGAATGACGAAGTACTGATTGCTGGATTCGGACGATCCGGTCATGCCGTGGGAGATATCCCAGGTGTGCGATTCAAGGTCGTTAAGGTAGCTGGTGTTTCTCTCTGGGCTCTTTACAAGGAAAAGAAGGAAAAGCCTCGTTCGTAAACTACTAACTTACTTACTACTACTAGAAACAAACAAACAACAAAACTAACTATAATTACTAATAATACTAGCCATCAGCACGAGCCGACTTCTCGAGACTTAGTTGTCAGCTAGACTTGCCTGTACTTTTCGTCTGGAAATGCCGAAGTACAATCGTGGGATGCAGCTAAAGGAGGACATCTGTTTGTCCTTTCGTGAGCATGGACGTCTTTGGGATGCATCCACATCTGCCTGGTGCTGCCAGGGGAGGCCATCATCTTTGCATCAAAGGACAACGTGTTCAGGTAGCACATGTATGATGGAATCCCCATCAACAGCATAGCAGTACGTTATCTTTCATCGGAATGGCCTCAATCATGGGTTTCAGCAGACTTCCCCTGGTGACATTGCAAACTGCACCGAAATATTGCTATTGTAGCTATATGGCTAGCCAGCAAGCAACTTCGATCGCAAGGGAGATTCCAGCTTGCTGGGTTCAAGGCAGGAAACATGGATGGGACATGGAGCGGACTACTCAAATTGTGGGTTCTGCTTCGTACCAACGACGGAACAACTCGCGAACATCATATAACTCACTTACTACCATACTAGTAATGTGACAAGCAAAATCTTCAGGAGAGCACACTCTCATCTTTTTGTGGGAATGTGGGGATCGCAGTCTCATTGACAGCCCACTGCTCTGCACCTATCAGACAGTAACAGGCGTGTTGACAAAACATACAAAGTATCTGCACCGTCACTCGTTGCTTCCGCATTCCAGCTTGCCATTTCAAATCATTTGCAATTCAACCGACTGTAGTCTTCGTAACTGGCGTTTCTTTCCTTGCGTGTGCGATTGGTACACAATCATCAAGAGTGAGGAGTCTGCATACATGGTCCAATTATGACTGTTCTATTTAAAAAAGACAAATCAACCACCAAGTTATTCGTTCTGTTTGTTGTTGTCATGGCTTGACATCATCTCGTTCTTCATTGAAGTCCAGGAACATTCCCTCTAATATTGGCATGACCTTGTCAGATTCCTGCTGTGAGAGTAGCAATCTACATTCAGGATCGGCTGGATCCACCTTTCCCACCAACAGCATGGGATCCAACATTCTGACTAGATTGTATTGCCTTCCATCGTGTTCAAATGATAGCAATACTTCGACTTCTTCCTCCCCATCATCATCATCGTCTGAATCCCCCCTCAAATCATCATCTTCGTCATCGTCATCCTCCAATTCTCCCACGAGCGTCAGCGTTTGAGGTGTCCGTTGAAGCACCAATTCGTCTGCAAATTCTTCTTCTAGAATAGACTCTGCCATTGGATAAATATCATCCATGAGTTTGTCGTCAAGTTCAATGGGTACCAACTGATCCTCGTCCCGAAAGTAGCACAGTGCCACGGCGTAATCACAGGGGACTCCAATAGTGTATTCGACGTCCTCTACCACGGCAATGCAATCAGCATAACATTCAATAAAAGAGTTATCTTCAGTATCGATAAAGGGAATGGGAATGCCTTCTTGTTCGGATGGAATGGGACGAAACTTGGAGTTGGCAGCCAACGCAAGCGCAGCGGTGGTAGTTAGCCGTTGTCTTCGTGGTTGAAGCGGTAGTGGGGTAAAGGCAGCCAGTTCTGTTGAAAGCGATGCTAGCACCAGCACAAACAGAAGTACGTGTACTGTGGCTATCTGTCTGATCATTAGATTCATGGTCGTCACCTTCTACGGTATATCCTTAGCTCAGATGCAAAGGTTCGAAGGTAACTGAAGGTACAGCGCAGCTTGATTCTCAACTTGTGGAGGTGTGGAGGTGTGGGATCTTTGCCTTTCCGTTGGAAGATTCGATTCGATTCAATCATTCGATTGATTGATGATTCGATTGAATCGACCCGTTCGATTCGATTCGATTCGATTCGATTCCGATTCGACTGATCATTCAATGATCATAAAATCAAAGCATGCCAACATAAACCTCGATTTCATAAGGTCCTGTCCCAACAGCTTGCTCAGATTGGCCAATCCGTAAATTGTGGCCTCTTTGGAGGTGATGTCGCCAGAATGACTCCCAAAAGAGGCCATTGCAGGAAAACGAAATCGTTTTTGGGCAAACGGCCACAGCCTTGGTTTGCACAACACCGAATTCGTTTTTGTGTTCCCTCCACCATTTTGATTGGCCCGCGAGACACCAACCTGACTCATCCTGGGGAACATTCTGGAAGAAGGCTTCCAAATTGGTACCTCGTCAGAAAATAATAAAACAAAGACAATGACAATGTTGAGGTTGTAGATCCTGTCATTGTTGATAATGGCTCGTACAAAGAGTGCTACTTACCCGTATCGGTTTGGTCTGAAGCCAATGCGTCTCGTCCAGCTGTTTGGTGAGTGTCATTGTTGCACAGTGTTTTGCAGAGTGTTTGAGTATCATTGTTCTAGAAAGTGAGAAAAGAAGCACCATGTCTGTTTTTGATGATACTCCCGCTGAACGTAGCTTCGTTGATATTCCATATGCCGAGCTAGGAGCAGTGCATCCTGACGCCAATGTGGTTGGTCCAACTGAAAGGTATTACAAATGCAGTGGTGAAAAGGCAGCCGAACTCATGGCGATGGGTATTGGTCTCAAGACAGGAGACTTACGTGAGGTGGGCAATGTCGAAGAAGAGCCATACTGTTCCATGAAACTGAAAAAGAAGGTGACACCCACACAGAAGCACATGGTGGAGGAGATCAGACGCCGCTGTATTTTGGAAGGTGTGCCTGAGTGCAAGTGCAAGTCATGGGAGAAGAAGAAGTGTATCGTTTGGTTGCAGAAGCATCCCATTACCAATACTACTGACATTGCTTTCGTCATCAAGGAAGAGAAGAGGTTCTTTGACCTGGTCACCAAGGCTCTTTTGGAGAAGACTGACGAAAAGAAGGAGAAAGGAACCACGCCCCCTTGGAACTATTCGGAACCATACCTTCGCCTGATTGAGTGCATGCTCGATGACTCCATCCGACAACTGTTCTTAGACATGCACAGGATGGGAGAAAGGGATGAGTTAGATGCCAGGAATTCTGAGAATCGTCCAGAGACTGTTTACGAAGCCTGTGCACGGTTGTTTAATGATCCCGACCATGAGGTAATGTCGCGCTGCTTACCTGATTTGCATTTCACCTTTTCCGAGGTCATTGACTGTTCTTTCGAGAACATGCCTGGCAAAGTGACACCTGATGAAGTGAAACGCCGTTGGGGTGACAGTCGAGCCAAGTTGATCAAGATCATCGCCAAATGGGAGCTCAGTGGTAATGGATTCGGTCAGCGTGGAGTCAGTGATGACAACTTTGGCCACTTGGGAGATGATATGTTGGAGTGCGGCGACAACAGAGCCAACTTCTTGGACTCGCAAACCAAGGAGCACATCCTTTACCTCTGGCATGTTGCAGATGAAGCCCAGATCCTGAAGAATGTCATGAGTGTCATCAGTGAATCTTGTGCTGCCACCTCGGAGACTTGCTCATCTGTCTCTGGGTCGGAGAATGCTGTTGCCCGCAGGAGGAGAACCGATGAAAGAGCCTTGGGTTTTTTCCGTGCCAAGATGGGACTTGCCATGCACACGATGTCTCGAGCTGCCATCTTCAAGGAACTTCGAGAGAGCCAGGAAAAGCTTTTCGAGGCCCAACTCAGAGTCATGGAGGTCACCAGTGAAGAGCTCAGTGAGTTGTGGATGGGCAGAGTCCGTTATCTTGAAGCCAACGTGAAGGCAGTTACAGAATGCTTGGACAGTTTGGCTTTCGAAGATTCCTTGGAGCCGCCTTCCAAGAAGCAGAAGAAGAAGAGAGGAGCCCCTGGACCACTTGTTCTTGGTGGTGATTCCGACAGTGACAGCGATGAGGAAGAGGAAGCCGTGAATGAAGAAGAATAGGCGCCATGGTTGGAACTGGTGGGTACTAGTGTTCTGGTGTTGTTGGTTGCTTCGAAGTGTGCTCCTATTGTGGGCTCCAGTCGGCGTCAGTCAGTCCTCGCTTCTATTACATGATTCAACTGGATGCGCCAGCCACTATTCTGCCAGTAGTCGATACTCAACAATCGGCATTTGCAAGTGATAATTGAGATAGTTTGAAACGTTTTGGAAACCTACTGGACTTAAGCTTTTAGATCGGTAGACTTAGAAGACAACATCAACTTGCGGTCAAACATCACCAATTTAGTCATCGCGGTGATGGCTTCTCTCAGATTTGGCGAGTCGTTGAGGAGTGTTCGGGGCATGGCTCGTGCAATGCAACCTTCATGCTATATAGTTGTGACATTATGTGAATCCAAATGTTTTATCTTTATTCATTAAGCTTTATAAGAGCGAGCAGGAGTCTTTCCCACCCAATGTCTAGGAGTGGTTCGCTTCAGACCAAGGCGTTGGATAGTGGCAAGCATAATTTCACGGGGCAAGGTATCGCCATTCTTTCGGTTGTTCCTAGTCCAATAAGAGATATCATCGAAATGCTCTCCACCATGAAGCAAGGCCTCTGGTCCGACATCGTCTCCACCACTGTTATCCTGCCACAAACCTCCTTCGCCAATAACAATGTTCACCTCATCACTCGCAAGACGGTCGGCCATGTCCAACGTACATTCCTCGAGAGGTGAGTCCACTTGCGAGTTTGTCGTGTATTGCTTCCTTGCCAATCTCTCATTGATACAAAAATTGTGCAAACGGCACAGGCATCGAACAACTGCTGTCACTTTGGCGATGGTCACTGATGTGGGAAACTGTTGGGTCTAATAACACTGCAGCTACTAGTAATATCAAGGTTAATTTGTTGATTTGGGCGAGTTGTGAAGAAAAAGTGATCTTTCTGGCTGGTCGCTTTGAAGTCTGGATCTGAGAATGCCAGTTTCCTTTCCTTAAATTCCTACGGTGGTGCGGTCTTTTTCTTATCCGGGTCCGCTAAATATCTAGACCGGCCAACACACTCCTGCCGTGGTCCCTAATGGATCCACGGAACGATTAAAACTAAACTAAATAGGAGGATGCCCTAATAAAAGCGCGATGCGAATGCGCATGGAATAGGGCACCTTGAAGGGGTTTCGTAAGAACATCCCCGCGCATGTCCTGTGTGGGACAATACACCACTCGTACATTTCCCTTGCTTCACTTGGTCGTGAATAAAAAGAAGAAACGCACATAAGAGCACAGTACGCTTACCGGCGCTGCTCTACAACCGAAAGCAAGTGGAGTTTTTGCCTGTCGGTTTGCCGGCAGGAGTGGCGGGAAATCAAGGAAGCGAAAGTTACATGCAACATTTTTCCATGATGAGAAGAGGACGATGCAGAACCAATCGCGCAGTTCCAGATTGGTTTGACAACACTGTCGATAGCGACGATGAAGATGATGGAATCGGTCCCAGGTTTGGTGCCGAGACCACAATATGATAGCAGCGATGAAGAGGACAGTGACGACGAGAAGACGAAGGTGACATTAGTGATCGAAAGGTTACCAGGAAGTTCCAGGCAATCCGCCAGAGCAAGCAAGAAATCGTACCAAGCATTGTGGACCCAATGGATGGACCGTTTTAAGGCCCAGCCAAAGCAAGCAGTTACAAGAGTTGGAATCAGCAGGTCTGCCAGGATCGCAGCCAAACAAGGACCACGAAGGGGAGTCACTTGCGCACAGCAGTTTACCAGACTGAGAAGATTCAGGAATCGCAAGAAGAAGTCCGTTCTGTATGTAGACGACGGCAGGCAAAGACTGATGGCACAGTTCATCCATGAGACCAACCACGGTAGGATCAAAGAGACTCCGTGGAAGAGCAAGTCATGCGCATCAGACACTTGTTGCCCAAGGGATTGAATGATCTGGGGTGACAGAGCCAAGGCCGCAGCAGAAATAGAGATGGATCAGCTGCACAGCCGTGTGGCCATTCGCTCCAGTTAGGCCAGAGGACTGTAAAGAATCGGAGCTCAAGAAGTCTAAGTGACACTCATGTTCTGTACGGGAAAAGCGAGACGGAACCATACAGGCCAGATCCGTTTCAATGGAAAGCCAACGAGAGTATACCAGGACAATGGATGAAACAGCGAAGTCCGACATTTTCGCTTGAAGGTCTAATGTTGTCGATGTGCGTCGATGCAGTGAAGGCCGCGACGTGATGACTTTGGATGTACCAATGCTTTTATTCAGACAGCATTGCCGCAACCCAAGGATGGTGGTGATAGGGTGATCATGAAAATTGAAGGCATTCTTGCAGAATTGCTTGTGGAAATCGACCCAGACACTTACAAGCCATTCCTTGTCTATGAGAAGGGGAGACCTATCCTCTACGTTGTGGTACTGAAGGCACTCTATGGAATGCTCATTGCGAGTCTACTTTGGTACAAGGCATTCCGCAAGGATTTGGAGTCTATTGGTTTCGAATTCAACCCCTACGATCCTTGTGTTGCCAACAGGATGGTCAATGGCAAGCAACAGACTATCCGTTTCCATGTCGACGATCTCATGTCAAGTCATATGATGGCCAAGGTGAATGATGATTTCCTGGCCTGGTGCAACGAGAAGTATTGGTACCTACGGTGCTGTCAAAGCAACCAGAGGACCCAAGCACGACTATCTAGGGATGACGATTGATTTTTCGGAGCCTGGCAAAGTCAAGATCGATATGATTGACTATTTGACCAAGGTGCTCGAAGAGTTCCCTGTAAACTTTGATCATGTCCGTTCTGTTCCGAGTGCAGCCCCAGCTGATTTGTTTTCTGTGGGTGACGGTGACAATCTGGACCCTGACACGAAGGATACCTTCCACACGAATACAGCCAAGCTACTCTTCGCCTGTAAACGTGCTCGTCCATACATGCAGACATTGACTACCGTCCTTTGTACTCGAGTGAACAAGCCTACCAGCATTGGGGAAACTTCTCCAAGGCCTCAAATTTATTCAACAGACTTTGAAAGACAAGCTCATCCTCCATTCT